TTTTAAAAATAACACGGGTAAAAAAAGAATAGGTATATTTTCCACATGACGTAAAACTGAAAGTGAGGAAGTCTCACTTCGATGAGTAAAGATAAATTTATTAAAGAAGCTAGTATATAAAACTAATATATGAATAAAAATTTTTAAAGTAATATAAAGTAATAAAATTTAAGCCACAAATAGGCAAATGAATCAGAAAGCCTTATTTCTACGTCTCAAGTAAAATATTTTTTTGAAAGGTCTAGTCTAGGAGATTATTAAATATTTGCCTGCAAAAATAGTTCTAAATGAAATATCACTACACTGTCCTTCATATTAAAACATCAGCACTACTTGGTGACACCTTGAAAATGTGTCCGTCAGGTCATTTTCAGCTTTAACATACAATTACTTAGTATTACCACTTTTAATGCTCTTCTCTCAGAAGGTGCACTTTAACTCAAATCAATGTGTATAATTTAATGACTGGATATTATCTCAGCACTTCAATTTCCTTAAATATCTATCTAAAGAATTAATAAACCTGTTTTTAAATTACCCAAATTCTCTTCACCAGTGCATAAATTTATTCATATTCACCTGATCACTCCCTAGAGCCTGTCTCTCTTTAAACACTATATACTTATTTTTCCTATTTGTGTCAGCCATTGTCTCTTTGAATTTTCTTAAAAGTCCCCTTTTAACCAGAAGGGAGATAAGTAGAAGTGAAGGTGAGGTTGAAATGAGTTCTTAAGTAAAAATGTCATCTTCAACCTTGCCAGACATTGAAGAGCAAATGAAAAGATACAAGATACCTATAGAAATTTATCTTCTGGTATTACAAATTAACAAGAAATATCAACTTCAAATATCATCTCAAGCTCAAAAAATGCTTATAATTTGACCCATTGAATTATAAAGAATTATTTATTAAAACTTGAACTCTGTTCCAGAATTATCTTAAGCACCAGGTGTAAAATAGAAAACAAAACAAACCTGAACATTACCTTCTGCTTCTGGTTCACAGCCAGAATTTAAATAATAAAGAAAATATAGCTTTTGACCTACATGATTAGAAGAGTCCCTAGAACATAGTAAGAGTTCAATAAAAGCTATATAATGAGACTGAACATAAATATTACGTGTATATTGTAAAAAGAATGTCAGGTGAAGAAGGAGAAGAGAAAGTTTTCAGAGAAGTATATAAAAGGCATCTCTGAGAACATGATAAATAAACTTAAAGATGAAGGAGGAGTGAGAATGAAAGAGATATAAGTGAACATTTAGGATAAGTGTGGAGCTCCCAAAAAGGAAGTCAGATGAGTTTAGTCTAGTGAGTGACTAAAGACAACAGCACAAAGGGGAGGTTTGGACAGGAACCAGAAACTAGAAAACCTCAAACTAATATATAGATTTTTGTTTGTTTCTATATTAAATTATCCTCATTATCATGGAAAGGCATTGACTTTAAGAAGTATAATTAAGTGGCAATAAAAAAAATTTTTAAATTTTATCTATAAATATATATCTGAAAAATAGATTAATGAAGTATACATAATTTATCGCATCTTTCTCAGTCTCCCCTCGCAACCCCTTATGTCAGATCCATTTTACAACAGTAGCACTATGCAGTATTTGTCCTTTTGTGTCTGACATATTTCATTCAGCATAATGTCCTCCAGGGTCACCTATTTTGAATAATATTTCATGAGTTCCTTGTTTTTCAATGCAGCGAAGTCTTCCATTGTGTGTGGGGAGACCGAAAAAGATAGGATAAATTATGCATTCTGCATTGAAACAGATAAGAGAGTGAACTGTTTAAAAGGGATATATGATTAGGTATTATTGTCATGACAGGAGTCCAGAAAGAAGGCTGTGGAGTGGAGTGGACATGGGGGGGGGGGGGGGATTTTATAACAATGAAAGAATTTTTCTTTTACTTTTCAAAGAGAAGGACGAACTGGAAGGGAGGGGTGGGCAGGGAGAAAAGTGCAACAATGAATGAATGGAAATCCAAAATCTATAAATTTTCATTAATAATAATAATCATAAAGAAAGAAAAAAGGTTCACAAAAATAGATTAAACACAGTCAATTGTGAAAGAGAAACAAGGTAGAGAAAGCACAGGGGTGGTTTGGACTGAGATAATGGGTATGTAAAAAAAGAAGGAAGCATAGATAATAATTATTTGCCAGCCCACCCAATGCTGTGGAGTCAGCAGGAAGGAACTGTGCTGCCAATTTAAAGGCTGTTCAAATCTACCAGCTGCTCAATAGGAGAAACATGTTTCTGTGAAATTTAAGCTTCTGAAAATGTTGAAAGGTCAGGTCCGAGTGGGTTCTCACCTGATGGCATATACCAGCAAGAGATCGCCACATGTGACAGAGTAAAACTATTTCTTGGGGTTTCCAAGTCTTCAAATCTTTCTCCTGGGATACAATTAGTGGGGTTTAAGTGCTTAATACACTGGACCACTTAGGACATGTAAAATTAAGTTCTAGAAATCACATTAGTATGATATAAGGGTGAATAAAGTGATAAGAATATGCCTAAATATCTAGGCAGTTTTAGCAACATAGCTGAGTCCTGAGGATAGTTAATTGAGATAGAAAAGAGAGTCGAATGTAATAAGCCGAGCTGCCTCCAGGGCACCTAATAACACTTACTAACTTCTTACTGAGTAAGAAGTATACTTTCAGTATACAAGTAACAACACACTGCTGTTGTTGTGTACCATCCATCAAGTTGGAGCTGGCCCTCCAGTGGGTTTTCAGAAGCAGTTAATCACCTGGGAGGAGATTGCCCATCCTTCTGCCGGGAGCAGCTGATGGACCTCATGCCTGTGGGACTGCAGTGCAGCTTGCCACTAGGCCACCAGAGCTCCCATAACTATGCTTCAGAATCATTAACCACACTGAAGTCATATTTACTTGAAATGTTTTAGTGTTCCATTTTGAAAGAGAACAGCAGAGCTCTCCCTTCTCAAAGTGAGCAGAAAAAAGTTGTTGACCTAACTGTATTTCTTCCATTTTGTGTAGTGCTGACTCACATTTCCATTAAGCAATCTTGTTCCCAGGACTAGGATGACAGGACAGAGAATCACACACCTAGCTGGAGCAATCCTGACTCAGACTCACTGAAGCAAATGACTACAAACTGATCAATGGAGAATTAACAGACAGCTGATTTCCTTCTCATCTGCTCTTGTATGCTAACAAGGTGCCCTTTCTTGGTTGAAACAGGTTTCTTATTTTCATTCGAGCCTTTAAAAATTCCAGTAAGTAAACTGCTGAAGGAGCATGCTTTGATACTTAGATAAGCTTTCAATAGAGGTCCTTACCCCATTGGATGTAGTTATGCATAATATTTAAGACAATTTTAATTTCTCAGGCATTTTTGGATCCATGATTGGATTTCAGTGGGTAATCTAATATTTAGATTTTGGTTTCTTTCCAGTGTATCTTTATTATAATGATAATGCCATGAACCTTTAGCATTATACCCTCAAAATGATATGAAATATTCTAGGTGACTGTCCGTATACATACTTTTTTAAAAAAAAAAAAAGATTTTGGACATATTGCAAGGAGAGACCAGTTCTTGGAGAGGGACAGTGCAGGAGAAGAAGAACCTGGATGAGATGGATTAAGTGACTGGGGTAACGGAGGTAGGTGTGTCAGAGACAATAAGATTGGCACAGGATAGAACAGGGCTCAGAGCTGTTCTACACAGGGGTCACTATGAGGCGCAAGTGACTCGATGGCACATAACAACAACATCCATAACCAAATCCAAGAAGGTTAAGTGTCTCTTCTGCGAGAGATACCGAAGTGTCCAGCCCTGATCCTTTAGCAGTACATGAGAGAAATATGCAGTCTCCTGCCGTACACAGCCTTGGAAACCCAATGGAGTGTCAGTTACGAGTTGATGACAATGTATTTTGGGTTTTGAAAATAATATATAATTCATTCAATCTTCCAATACTAAACTTTGCAACATAAGCTAAGGGAATTTTAAAAAGAAAAGGTAAACCTCACCTTATTCTACTCCAAATAAATTTAGTATAGTGAGTGAAAACTCTTATCAAGCTAGCATACTAATAAAAATTATCTAGTTATGAAAAATAGTGTATAATTTGTATAAGAAAAATCATTGGCTTGATGTCAGCCAATCTAGTTTCAGGCTACCAGACATATATCTTGATCTTGAGGAAGACATTTAATTTCTTTAATACTTTGGAAATTTGTTTTAAAACAAAGGTAATAATACTACTATCTGTTTAATAAGTTTTATATGTGAATTACCTAATAGCGATAAGTAAACATGAAACTTCATTTCATGTCTATGTGAATTATATATAAATTACTTTTAAGGCAGCCGCTTAACCCACTTAGACTAGTGTTACATTCACTTATGGGATCTTAAGAGAGGAGAACTCACATGGCAATAGTATTGAATATCCCATGAACTACCAAAAGAATAAATAAATCTGTGTTGGAAGAATGGAACTAGGATCTTTCTTGGAGGCAAGAATGATAAAACTTCACCTCATATACTTTGTATGTGTTACCCAGAAGGAACAGTCCTTGGGAAAAGACATTAAGGTGATGAGCCAAAGAAAGAGAGGAAGGTCCTCAGTGAAATGGAGTTACGCAGGGACTGAAACAATGAGCATGAGCAGGGCAATCAATGTTCACATCTGTTCATAGGATCACTATGAATCGTAGTCAACATGACGGCACCTGACAACAACAAAGCCACCATGTTCCAGAACTGTTTTAATGTTAAAACTGCACATTCGGACACAGTCTATGTTAATTGTATTTTCACTCTTTGGGGTGATTAAACGTTCCCCAAGATGTCAAATTGTATTACTAATTGTCACAGTAAAATTAAACCAAGTGTTCCTTGTACATTCATATCCCTTTAGAGCTCTATAACATTATGTACAAGCTCCATAACTGACAGGTACAGGCACTCAATTTGCCCCATTACAAAAAGATAGAGTGATTGTCACTTACCTCTATCACTGTCATAGAGATATGCAAACTTATCCCATTGATAGTATTCAATCAAGCTAAGAAGTGCGCCTTTGAGGTCAGGTCTCATCTGAATGACAAATGGGTGTGTGCCATCTGTCGGGAAGCTGGGAGTGATGAAGGAGACATGAAGCGTTCCACAAAATGATGTGATGGTATTTACAGACTTCTTGTCATAAAAGCCAAAAATGGCATATACTCCTCTTGAAAACTGGGAGCAGACTAGGAGGAAAAAGGAAAAGAGAAATGCTTGATTATTTAAATTTGGTTATAACCACATGAATTTTTTTAAAATATGATTTCCATTTTTTTAGAAAATACAAAATAAGAGATTGAAAAATATAAGTTTTATACTAATGAACCATCAAATTTTATGAGTAAGTATTTCCTTAGAATTCTATTGGAAAATCGCAAAAATTATAAAGCTGTATGCTTATTCTTAAGAAGATGAAAACCTTTATCATGAAAAAGAGCAATTTAACAACAACAACAAAAAAATTAAAAAAACACCTTTTTTGTAACCTGCTAGGAAACATTACAATTCACCTGAAATTTGAAGGAAAAAAAAAAAAGACAAAAGTGGAAGGAGAGACACTGGCTTCAAGAAGCTCAGCATTTAGCTGAAATTACAATTTTGATAGTTGGAGGAGCAATAGTATTCTAGAGAATGAAAAAATATGATCAATTAAAAATAAAAATTTGATAACAACTTCATATACACTAGGAAAAGAGGATTAACAATCTAATGTCTAAATGCCCTTGTCATACCTGGGGCAATTAAAAAAAACACCAGACACACACACACACACACACACACACACACACACACA